TTCATGGTCCCAAGGAGAGAGAAGAGAAGGAGAGAGAAAAGAGCGGGGTGCGGGGATATTTCTGAGATTTTAAAAGTTAATTTGGTTTAAAATATGCTATTATCTTTCTCTAACTTTTACTATGAATTTTCATTAACCCCACAAATATGTTATTTACCTCATTCTCCTTAAAGAACAAAAGAAATGCCCAACTACGTCAATTTATTCATGGATTAATTATTGAGTCGGTCTCTGAAATATATAAAAAGTTTCACTTTGGTCCTTAAAATAATAATTAGATCTAGAGTTTTGGTCACAAAACGTTTGAAAAGCAAAATCTGTATTACCCTTAAAACTAAGGTATGTCAGAAAGGCAACAGATTGAGCACGTGAAGCTCACATTAACAGAAAAGAACAAGTTTTGTGTTAGTTTTTTAATCTTTTAACGAAAATTGGTTTTTAGAACTAATGGAGTGTTTGTTTAAGTGTTTGGCACTAAAACGCTAGACCAAAATAAGACTTTTACCGTAATCAAGAAAATAAGATAGCAGAGAGAAATATGGAAGAAATTTCTATACCAAATACAAAATTTTGCTTGAATTTCAGAATTTATGATCACAATTAAATATCAAAAACTATCGGTTGAAATATCGATTTTCAGTAGCTCGCAAGGTAATTTGTACAAATTTTTAGGAAATATAAGAAAAATATTAAATAAATTGAAAAGTTCAATAGATGTGTTTTTATTTTTATTTTCTTATTTTATCAATATTTTGTAGGATGCTTATGTAATTTTTGCTGCGTTGGGCACGTTTACTAATAAGAAATTTAAAAAGCAAGAGATAAGTTCCAAGAGAAGAAAAATTTAATTCCTAGGAACTACATTCCAGAATTCTATGGAAGTGTTCACTAACCTATAGAAATTAAGTTACATTGAATTCCTATTCATTTGTTTACTAAACTAAGGAAATGGAATAAAAATATAGATCATTCCAAAAATATCCTTGAATATAATTATAGTAATGTCTTGTAATATAAACTAAAATACAATATTATGATATAAGCCTAATTCAACGGAATATAAATTAAAATACAATATAATGATATAAGATTCACTCATATAAAATGCTGAAAACAACATAAATATATTCATAATATATGAAAAGACGTAAGTTGACATCACACATTATTCATAAATGATTTGAAAAACAAAACCAAACATCCTAAAGTTCTTAAAACATCAAAACATATTTGAAAACATAGAAGAAATCATAAAGTTCAACTAAGAATCGAATTTATTTGCAAAAGAAAAATTATGGAAAAAATAAAAAACAAACATACTGGTACAAAGAACTCATATGAGCAATCAGCGACGGCAGGCCTATACCATTTTACGTGAACAGTAAACGCTGAAATTTAAAATGGGAAACTCAATTTCCTTTCTTAAATTAGAATTCCTGATAAGTAAACACGTCTTTAGTGTAACTGTACTTTTAGGTAGAATCAGTTGTTTTCCTTAAAAAAAAGTAGGAAAACATAAAACCAAAAAAGGAAGAAAGAAACAAGCAATAAAACCCATCCAGAATGGCTCCTCATGATCATATTATCCATTAGTGATTGATAGATATGAAATTTTAATTCTCTTCATCTGAGCATACCACCATATCTCAATCAAACGTAATTTCATTAATACAATATATAAAGAGGTCAATAAATTTTTATGTGTCATGTTTATAACTATATTTGACACTACTCAAAAACATTGTATGGCACCAATATTGCTTAAATAAAAAAAGAATCCCAATTATGTTTGATACTCAAATAAAAACTCAATTCATGATCATTAAAAAAGTTAGGTCATTTATTCTTTTTTTTTTGTAATCGTTTTTTGTGCTTGGGTCCCTAATCTTGCAAAAGAACTACTTGCATTAATCCTTCTATTCAATCCACCTTTTTCCCTCTTCTCCCTCGAACATAAACCCAATTCTTCTCTTGTTTAAGTTGGCATTTTTGGTGTATTAAACTCAGTCTTAAATAGTATAAAAGTATACAAAAAAATTTAAGATATTGTACGTGGTTAAATATCTAACAAGTCAAACTAAAATTTTTAACAATTGTAAACAGACGATCATAAAACCCTCACAAAACTGATGCACTTGGAAAAATCACCAAAAAGAGAAAATGACCTAATTTCCGAACCTAAATTAAAATTCTTCATTCTAACTCATATTTTTAGTTGATTTTTGCTAAACTAAAATGTTGTAGAAATAGTTCATTAAGTAATTTTTCAATTTAAAATAAGATACTTAACGCCTTGTTAATAAGTGATTCTATTAATTTTCTACCTACACATCATAATGAGTGTTTTGGGGTGTGACAGAACTAGCACCTAGTAATCTGAATTATTGAAAATAAATCATATCACTGTGTTGTCCCGAATAAGGCTACCCAAGAGGGGGGTGAATTGGGTTTTGAATATTTTTTGAGAGTTTATACGATTATTCGAAGATTAAAACTAAATATAGACAATTAATTGAACAATGTACTTTTATCAAACACTTGGTGTACAGAAAATTATGTAAGTTAATGCAATAGCACAACCACTTGATGTACACAAGATGAACCAATCTAATATCATACAAAGAGTTCAATAAACTTATCACTACGAGTTAAACCAATCAATGTCAACAATCAAATTTAAAGTGCAGAAATTAAAGAGATAGAGTTAGAGAGATGCAAACGAGATTTATAGTGGTTCGACAAATAAATTTGCCTACATCCACTGTCGCCGAGATATTCCGCCTCTCGACCTCTTCCACTATTCGATCGACTTTCCGGCACGATCACTCCTCTTACAAGAAGGCGAATCTTTCTACCCGAGGCTTCGCCTAACCTCTTACACAATGTCGATTTTCCACGGAGATCGACCAACCAAGTAACCCAATACCAAAGTAATGATTATGAGTAGTGAAGCACTTAGTTATACACTCCTAACAATGGTTTTACACAATTGAAATCACTAGGAGATGATGAACTCACACTATCACAAGATAATTCAAGGTAGGCTCAATTATGTGTGAGAGAGTTAAGGATTTAGAGAAGATGATGATTATGTAGACACAATGGAGAACTCTCTTTTGGATTGTTGGAGCTATGAATTCGTTCTCTGTTTTCAGCAAAATCCACTATTGAGAAAATTGACTTTTCTCTATTTAACCTCTCTTGCCAACGGTCATATTTTTGCCCGTATACCCAGTACCGGTCCACCGGAGTGGTTGACCGGTTGAGGCATCACCGGTCGACCGGTGCATTTAGCCTTCTCTGTCACCGGACGACGTAGGTCGACCGGTTGACACTTAATTCGCCTCAAATCTTCACACATTTGTACTTTTAGGCCAAATGTCATTATGCACTAAGTTTAGTCTCATTTTTAAAGAATAATGTGAGTGTGTGCATGGGCCTAAACAAGAACTAATCATGATAGTATGAAGTCAAAATCAAATACAAGACTAAGGAGATATTAAAAACCTATTAGTACTTGTCCAGCTTGATTTTGTTTGCTTGCTCTTGATCTTTGGTATTTTAGCACTTCAAGCCTTGAATTCCTTTTTCAATTTACATTTGTCAATCTTGAATGTATTTGCATTGTATTCCGCAAAATGCTTCTTGAGTTGATTTATAACATTAATTACGCTAAATACACAACTCAAAATAGAATCATTAGAAACATAATACATTGTGTTTGTGATCATCAAAACATGAGAATATTCAACCTTGGGCCAACAATCTCCCCCTTTTTGATGATGACAAACACTTGATTTGCTAAGATAATGTAGGCAATTACATTGTTCTTCTTTACAAGTGTTATGTCTCCCCCTTATTTAATCACTTGATACTTACTTGAAAAGATTCTCCCCCTTAATCTATTAAGCCATTAGAGAATGCCCCAATTGATCATTTTTATGTTTCCTTTCCCCCTCAAGTGACAATAGACTAAACAACAAATAGGAACATCAAGTGACAATAGGCAATAACACTTGATTCCTATAGACAATAACCCCATCTCCCCCTTTTGTCATCAACAAAAAAATATCAAGTCATAACAATGTAGTCACCAAATAAGTTACATTAATCATTAGTCATTAGAAATGATACAATAATCACCAAAGAAGAGGAACGTCAAATAAGTTACATTAGTCATTAGTAATGAAGTAACCATCAAAAGGCATAGTGAAACATTGATCATTTATCTAAGAATGAGGAGGCCCTTGAAAATTGATACGACGAAGTTGTTCGAGAATTTGTGCTTGCGTATCGGTGATTTCTTGATGATGGACTTGAAAATCATTTCGAAGATTAGAGATGCTTGAGTTGACAAAGGAGTAGAGACTTTGGATGCCAGTGTTTAGTTATGTTCGAAGCTCATCATGACTTGCACATAGGGACTCAATCCGTCCATGGAGGTGATTGAATGCATCGTCATTCAACCTAGTTGAACTACCTCCAATCTCTTCTTCGCCTCCTTCATTTTCAACTCTGACTCTTTTCTTCGGAATCCATCTTCCATTCTCAAACTTGTAGCTCATGAGTTTGATCGTGGTTTTATTATAATCAAACTTGGGTGGAATAACATCAGTTTCGTCATCAAGATCCACGTTAAAATGATGAAAAATCTTTGTTAGCACTATCCCATAAGGAAGACTAGGATCCCTAGCCAAATTATTACCCTCCGCCATCTTGTGAAGGATCAAATAGGAAAGGTTTGTCCGATCACTTTGGAGAAGGCAGAACATCAAATAAAGATCGGTGAACGAAACCTCATCCTTATGCCCTCCTCTAGGAGTGATATTGTTTGAACTAATATGGTGGATAACTCTACTCCTAAGGGATAGTTCATTGGCTTTTGGCTTTGGGGGTAGAGCTCCAATCTCGTCTTCATCGCTCCATTGAGTTGGGGTTTGGTCCATAATAATCCTTGACATTGTTTCCCCATGATAAGGCCAAGAGTCGCAAGTATGCACTCATTTTCCCACATTCAGAATCCTAAAAATGTTTGAGATTCCCTCTCTATCAAGTTCTATGCATTGTCCCTTGAGAGTGCATGATATTTGGACATTGGTGTCACAAGTAGTGTATTCCATATGGGCATAAAAGGCTTTTACTAACCGATGGTAGACTACTTCCTTAACCTCCACAAATGCTTTCAAACCTAGAGTCTCAAACAATCTCTCAATGTCTAACTCTCTAAACTCACTAAAGTCCACAAATCTTCCTTCTACAATGGATTTCTTTTCAAAAAGCGTAAAGGTACGAGAATTAAATTCATCATTGGATACCTTCTTTCGTGGCCCAGAGGAAGTGGATTTCACATTTTTTTCCTTTTCCACGGGATGACCGTGCGAAGCCATTGAAGCAATCTGTCGAACACTTTGTGGGTGATTTCCGGATTGGAATGGATTGGAAGTGAAAGTTGAGAAAGAGGGGAAAGAAATGAGAATGTGAGAGGAAGAACGTTTCTTCAGAGGTTTTGATTATGATTGTAGAGGAAATTTGAAGAAGCTTGGATGATTTTGAGGAATGTTGTGGATTTGGGGGTGTTTTTGGCTCCTAAGGCTCGAGTTTGAGTTAGAGAGAGTGAGAGAAAAAAAATTTTAGAACTGATTTTAAAAAGCCTGTCGTGAACCACCGGTCGACCGATCAAGCTTAACCGGTTGACCGGTTGATTATAACTTCGTTGTCTCCGGTCGACCGATGTATACAGAAAACGTGAAAAGATAGTTGATTTTGGCAGACAAGGCCTAATCAACCAACAACCAAATATAGCATATGTTTCCTCATACACCATCACACACGCAAAATAACAATATCAATCTATTTTAGTATCAAATCATCTAGTCATAGATCAAATACTTAATTTCTAAGTGATCAAATTTAATTCCATAGCATCTAATAATCCTAAACCTCTTCTAAGTGAAGCAAATCTTTCAAGGGCTAGAGGCTTGGTAAGGATATCCGCAATTTGATGATTAGTGCTAATGAATTCTAATGTGATATCGCCCTTTTGTATATGATCACACAAGAAATGATGTCTAATTTCTATGTGTTTGGTGCGTGAATGCAAAATCAGATTTTTTGACAAGTTGATTGCACTTGTGTTATCACACATGATAGGCACATGATCATAGCTCAATCCTAGGTTCAGAAGTGTTGCTTCATCCAAAGGACTTGCGCACAACAGCTGGCTGCCGAGATATATTCAGCTTCCGCGGTTGATAGAGCAACCGAATTTTGCTTCTTACTAAACCAAGAAACTAGTGCAAATCCTAGAAAATGGCATGTACCACTTGTGCTTTTTCTATCTATGGTGCAGCCTACCCAATCGACATCCGAATAACTAAACAAGTCAATGTGTGTGCCCTTTGGATACCATAATCCTAAATTCTTAGTGCCACTAAGATATCTAAAAATTCTTTTTACCGCATTTAGATGTGACTCTTTAGGATTTGATTGATATCTAGCACACAAACAAACACTTTACATAATGTCTGGTCTACTTGCGGTTAAGTAAAGTAAGGATCTGATCATACCTCGATATTTCGTTATGTCCACTGCTTTACCATTTACATCCTTGTCTAATTTAATAGATGAGCTCATTGGAGTAGATAGAGGCTTCATGCCTTCAAAGTCAAACTTCTTAAGTAGATCTTTGACATACTTAGCTTGATTGATGAAGATGCCTTCCTTTGTTTGTTTGATTTGAAGACCAAGGAAGAAGTTGAGCTCTCCCATCATACTCATTTCAAACTCACTATGCATGCACTTTGAAAACTCTTCACAAAGGGAAACATTAGTAGAACCAAAAATAATATCATCAACATAAATTTGTACAATAATTAGATCATCACCCTTTGTTTGTGTAAATAGTGTAGTATCAACTTTTCTGATTGAAAATCCATTTTGGAGTACAAATTTACTAAGTCTATCATACCAAGCTCTAGGAGCTTGCTTTAAACCATATAAAGCCTTTTTCAATTTAAAAACATGATCCGGACACTTGTGATCTTGAAAACGAGGTGGTTGTTCTACATATTCTTCTTCTACAATGTATCCATTAAGAAAAGCACTTTTAACATCCATTTGATAAAGAGTGAACTCTTTGTGGGATGCAAAGGCTAATAACATTCTAATGGATTCTAATCTAGCAACTGGTGTAAAGGTTTCTTCATAATCGATTCCTTCTTCTTGATTGAAACCTTGGGCCACTAGTCTAGCCTTGTTTCTCACAATCACACCGTGCTCATCTCTCTTATTCCTAAAGACTCACTTGGTGCCAATCACGGATTGAGTATTAGGTCTAGGGACTAATTCTCATACATCACTTCTTTCAAATTGATTTAGCTCTTCTTGCATCGCTAAAATCTAAAATTCATCATTTTCGGCATCTTTAAAACTTTTTGGTTCAATTTGTGAAAGAAAAGCTAAATTATTCCAAACATTTTTAAGTGATGATCTAGTAACCACTCTTTGTGATATGTCACCTAAGATTTTATCTTTAGGATGAGAGGTACTATACCTCCATTCCTTCGGTAGTTGATTGGATGTACTATCTTGTTTTGAATCATTAACTTGATCCTCTTGACGTTGTGGTGTGTTGTAGGTTTGAGGTTCTTTCTCCTTGGAATCCATTGCTTCTTTGTCATTCAACACCATATTGCTCATTTTATGCTCCAAACCTAAATCATCATCATCATCTAGACTTTTCTCCACAAAGGTGTTAGTTTCATCAAATACGACATGCATGGATTCTTCTACAACTAAAGTTCTTTTATTAAATACTCTATAAACTTTGCTAGTAGTAGAATAACCAAGAAAAATTCCAACATCGGATTTTGCATCAAATTTTCCCAAGTTGTCTTTAGTGTTTAAAATAAAACATTTGCAGCCAAAGACTCTAAAATAACTAATGTTGGGTTTTCTACCCTTCCAAAGCTCATATGGAGTTTTATCCATTTTTGGTCTAATAAGAACTCTATTTACAATGTAACAAGAAGTGTTAACCGCCTCGGCCCAAAAGTATTTTGGTAATCCATTTTCATTTAACATAGATCTAGCCATTTCTTGTAGAATTCTATTTTTCCTTTCAACAACACCATTTTGTTGTGGTGTTCTTATTGCCGAAAAATTATGTTTATACCCATTCTCATTACAAAGTATTTCAAAAGCATCATCATCAAATTCTCTACCGTGATCACTTTTAATGGTGATAATTAGATAACATTGCTCATTTTGAACTCTTTTGCAAAAATATGAAAATATTTTCAGTGCTTCATCTTTAGTTGCTAAAAAGATTACCCATGTATATCTTGAAAAATCATCAACAATGACAAATGCATAATGTTTTCCACCAAGACTTGTTGTTCTTGATAGACCACATAAATCCATGTAAAGCAATTGCAAAGGTCTTGTTGTAGAGATTTCTAAAATAGATTTGAAAGAGGTTCGAACTTGCTTTCTAAATTGACATGCATCGCAAATTATATCCTTTTGAAAAGGAAGGTTTGGTAATCCTCTAATAACTTCTTTTCTAGAAAGTTTTGAAAGTAGGTGCATGCTAGCATGACCAAGTCTTCTATGCCAAAGCCAATAATCATCATTTAAAACGGAGAGGCATTGATTTTTATATGATAACTTTTCAATATCTATTGTATAAACATTTTCACTTCTGTCACCAATAAACACCACTTCATTATTGCAAACATTTTGAATCAAACATTTTGATGATTCAAAAATAACTCGGTATCCCTTATCACACAATTGGCTAATACTAAGTAAGTTATGTTTCAAATTATCAACGAGAAATACATTTTCAATTAAGGGAGAGGCACTATTACCGACATCACCAACTCCAAGAATTTTTCCTTTTATGTTGTCGCCAAATGTCACACGTCCTCCGTTTTTCCTTGTGAAATTTTTAAGTAAGGAAAGGTCTCCCGTCATGTGTTTTGAGCATCCGCTATCTAAAAACTTCTTGACCTTTTCCTCTCTTGGCTCCTACAAGGCAAAATCAAGTCTTGATTTTTGGTACCCACATGAATTTGGGTCCTTGAAGGTTAGTTCTTGAACCTTGTTTGGTTTCAAAGTATGTGTTCTTTTTAATGGCACATGAGAAAGATGTGTGGCCATTTTGATTGCAATAAGTGCGCACATATTTTGAATCTGATGTTGATGCTTTGACAAAATAGTTTTTAAAATATTTTTGTTTTACATGAGGCTTGTAACCAAGACTTCCTTTGTTGAAAACGCATCTTTGTCCACCAAGCATTTGATCAAAGTTTTTCTTTCCATTGGTGAACTTCAAAATGATCTTTGTCAAATCATCAACCTTTTCTTTTAAGGAAACATTTTCACATAATATCGTACTTTTCTCATTTGTCAACAATGTGATTTCTTTCTTAAGTAGTTCTATAGTTTTTCTATGAGATGCATTTCTGTGAGCAAGTTTAGTATATTCTTCATGTAATTCGGAAAATGCATGTTCTATATCCTCATTTGAAAAAGATGTAATACTATTTTCCTCGATATGAAGTTTAGAATTTGAGGTTACCTCATTATCATCAATGACCATGAAGCACATATTTGCTATTTCTTCTTGCTCATCACTATCAGATTCTCCGAGCTCTAATTCATCCCAAGTTGCTTGGAGAACCTTTTTGAGTTCATCTCTTTTGGAGCTCTTCTTGTTGCTCCTTTTGAGAGGACACTCCGTCCTCTTATGTCTGGGCTTCTTGCAATCATAGCAAATGATTTCATCTCTTTTGATTTTGTCTCCCCTTTCTTCATTTCTTCTTGAGCTCTTGCTTTGGTTAAACTTGTTGTAGAATCTCTTGTATTTCTTGGTAAATAGGGAGATCATTTCCTTGTCTAATTGATCAAGTTCTTCTTCTTCCTCATGCTCACTAACTTCTTCTTGAATTGATGCTTTCAATGCTATTCCTTTCTTTTTCTTATCATCTTCTTCCTTGTCTTTCATTCGAGAGAGTTCATGAGTCATTAAAGATCTGATCAAATCATCAAGTGAGAGAGTTTAAGGTGTTTCATTTCCTCCAAGGTGGTTCTCTTGACACTCCATAACTTAGGCAATGACCTCACGATCTTGTTCACCAATTCACTTTCCTTGAATGGTCTATCAAGAGAATTTAAACCGTTAACTATATCGGTGAATCGTGTATACATAGAGGTGATTGATTCATCATCTTTCATTTCAAACATTTCGTATGCACAAACGAGATGATTTATTTTAGTTTCTTTTACTTGGTTTGTACCCTCATGCATTACCTCTAAAGTATGCCATATGGCTTGTGCGGACTTACATGAAGTGATCCTATTAAACTCATTTCTATCTAGAGTACAATACAAAATGTTCATAGCTTTAGCATTTAAGGATAATTTTCTTTCATCATCTTCATCAAATTCACTAGGGTCCTTAGGAACTAATTTATCTTCACTTTTCTTTGTGGGAACAAATGGATAATTTTCGACATTTCGCGACAAGGCATAATCGATAGATTGCAAATAAATTCTCATTCTTACTTTCCAATAATTATAGTCAACCCTATTAAAAAAAGGAGGTCTATGTGTAGATTGACCTTCCAAGTTTTGAAAATTTTGTGTAGCCATGCTCAAGATTGTAAAATCTTTTTAAAGAAATTTGAGCAACCTTGCTCTGATACCAATTGTTGTCCCGAATAAGGCTACCCAAGAGGGGGGTGAATTAGATTTTGAATATTTTTTGAGAGTTTATACGATTATTCGAAGATTAAAACTAAATATAGACAATTAATTGAACAAGGTACTTTTATCAAACACTTGGTGTACAGAAAATTATGTAAGTTAATGCAATAGCACAACCACTTGATGTACACAAGATGAACTAATCTAATATCATACAAAGAGTTCAATAAACTTATCACTATGAGTTAAACCAATCAATATCAATAATCAAATTTAAAGTGCGGAAATTAAAGAGATAGAGTTAGAGAGATGCAAACGAGATTTATAGTGGTTCGACAAATAAATTTGCCTACATCCACTGTCGCCGAGATATTCCGCCTCTCGACCTCTTCCACTATTCGATCGACTTTCCGGCACGATCACTCCTCTTACAAGAAGGTGAATCTTTCTACCCGAGGCTTCGCCTAACCTCTTACACAATGTCGATTTTCCACGGAGATCGACCAACCAAGTAACCCAATACCAAAGTAATGATTATGAGTAGTGAAGCACTTAGTTATACACTCCTAACAATGGTTTTACACAATTGAAATCACTAGGAGATGATGAACTCACACTATCACAAGATAATTCAAGGTAGGCTCAATTATGTGTGAGAGAGTTAAGGATTTAGAGAAGATGATGATTATGTAGACACAATGGAGAACCCTCTTTTTGATTTTTAGAGCTATGAATTCGTTCTCTGTTTTCAGCAAAATCCACTATTGAGAAAATTGACTTTTCTCTATTTAACATCTCTTGCCAACAGTCATATTTTTACCCGTTTACCCAGTACCGGTCGACCGGAACGGTTGACCGGTTGAGGCATCACCGGTCGACCGGTGCATTTAGCCTTCTCTGTCACCGGACGACGTAGGTCGACCGGTTGACACTTAATTCGCCTCAAATCTTCACACATTTATACTTTTAGGCCAAATGTCATTATGCACTAAGTTTAGTCTCATTTTTAAAGAATAATGTGAGTGTGTGCATGAGCCTAAACAAGAATTAATCATGATAGTATGAAGTCAAAATCAAATACAAGACTAAGGAGATATTAAAAACCTATTAGTACTTGTCCAGCTTGATTTTGTTTGTTTGCTCTTGATCTTTGGTATTTTAGCACTTTAAGCCTTGAATTCCTTCTTCAATTTGCATTTGTCAATCTTGAATGTATTTGCATTGTATTCCGCAAAATGCTTCTTGAGTTGATTTATAACATTAATTACGCTAATTACACAACTCAAAATAGAATCATTAGAAACATAATACATTGTGTTTGTGATCATCAAAACATGAGAATATTCAACCTTGGGCCAACACACTGCAAATTGTCATGATATGATCCATTTTTGTGACGACATTTCAAATTGTCGTTGCAAATAATCTTTTTTTTTTTGCGACGACAAGTCTAAAAAATTCGTCCCAAAAAAACTGAAATTAATTTTTTTTTATAATTTTTAAAAAATGGCAATTAATTAATTTTTAATATTTTTAATTAAACATTATTATGTTACATACTGAATAGAATTTATTAAGATACATTAAAAGCGAAATATAAATTAATATTAAAAACAGTAAATCAAATAAATTTATAAAATATATTATGAATACTACATGAAGTGCATATATAATGTTCAAAAAAAATAAAAAAGTCTAAATAAAGTGAAAATTAAAAAAGTACATATAACAGAACTAATCATCTAAGTTTGGGCCAGGAATCAACAATGTCAACATCTTATAAGGATCCTTAGTGCATAACCATAGAGGTAAATTGTAGGCCGTTAAAACCACTGGCCACATACTGTATGAGAGGCTCATGTTCCCAAAAGGATTGAAACCATCAGCGGTCACTAATTCATATACGATACACAGATTAGATTGTATGTAACTTGTAATGATCCTTGTAATGTCGACTTAATATGAGTATAAAAAATCTATAAGGATAAGATTCAAAAACAAAAACAAAAAACAATAAAAAAAACCATTGGCAAGAAATGTTAATAAAAATTAAGATTAACTATTTTGGGCGCTTTTAGTTTTACTCTCTTTATTTTACTTAAAAGATAAGTTCTATCGTTTGTATAAATTTTTCACATCTCTTTATGCTATATATAGCATGATCTTATTCATTGAATATATAAATGCTCCAATTATCTCCCCTTTATGGTAAATTAACTTACGTACACAAAACGTAACTTAATTAATATGTATAATACTTATCATCTCCCACCTAATATGAGGTACATAGAATCTATAAGGATAAGAATCAAATCCAATATTCATAGGGTATCATTATAATTAGTAAAATATCAAGTAGCAATTAAAGTGTATTCCAAGAAAATATATTCTCTAGAGTTTTAGACGTAGCAACAAGATCCTGACTCTTAGCTATCCCAACAATTTTAAGCCTATAAATTGGTAAGAAAAAAATTTACTAACAACACTTCCTCCTGCATGTTTAGTTTAGCTTGCACAAAGATATCAACAATAATGTTCCCGATCTCCGTAATCGTTTTCTCCCTACTATTTTCTATTGCCTCTAATGCACAAACAATTGATTTAGAAATTAAAGGAATAGATCATCATAATCCTCTCATTCGACCACAGTCATTTCACAAACCAAGCATTGAGCCGATTCAAATCCCCCACCCCGGTGCAAGAATCATAAGGGAGACTCCAGGAGGACCGGATCCAATTCACAATCCTACAACTAAAAGGGAAACTTTTGCAAGATCAAACCTAGGAATCATAAGAAAAGCACTAGAAGAGTTAGATTCGATTTACCACCTTGCCATTGGCCCAATATCAAACCATGAGTCTGTCGCTAGACCAGTTCAAATTCATCGCTCCTTTGCAAAAATCACAAGCGAAGCACCAGGAGGCCCAGATCCAATTCATAATCCTACCATAAGAAGGGAAAATTTTGCAGGATCAAATTTAACAATCACAACAATAACTCGAGAAGAATCAAATCCGATGCTCTACCCTATCATTAGAGCACATTTGTACCATGAGTCGAGTGCTAACTCGGTTCAAATCCCTCACTCCTTTATAAGAATCAAAAGGGAAACACCAGGAAGATCAGATCCAATTCCTAATCGAGGTGTCCTTCATAAAGACAAGAGGTTATCTAGCTTTTATGTTGACCTCAAAAAGAAAAATTCCAAGATCAAAGTTGATACAAAGTTTTAATGTTTCTTTTGTAGGCAATTAAGGAGTTGATAGGAATGTTGTGGACTAGGAGTAAATTTATAATTACAAGAAAATAATACATTTGTATACATATTCGTATTTAGAAATACATTTCATTGTATTTTCTAACTAAAGAAGACAAAGATTATTATAATTATTTTGGTATTCCAATAAAAATTATAGACTTCGCATTATTAAAGTAACCTCGTCTTTATGTAACCAAAATTTTTAGTTATAGTGTAATTAGGGCAGGAACTATATATTTAACATTGATTGAAATAAGTTGAATATGTGTGTGTTGTTTAGTAGTTAGTTTTAGTTTTAACTTTCAAAATAATTAATTGAAGGAACATAAAGTGTCTATCGAATGCATGATCATTAATGATTAAAATAGACATATTTATAGTTAGTTTTAAAGGTCAATATTCCTGATATTTTTATGTTGAAAATTTTTTTAAAATATATTAATATTAATTTTATTATTTAAAATATTTTTAAAAAATAAATTACAAAACTTTCTTTTTAAGGGAAACTTTCATTAGAAAACCAATGAATTACATACTTAATAATAGTCACAAATAACCAACAACTATAAGAGAATTCGATCCTGAGTATTAACTGGATCTACTTGTGAAGACGGATAAAGCACATGGGCGAATATAAGTATTGAGATCTAACGGGAAAAGACCCGTTCGGCACTAATAAAATTAAGTACAACCAAAACTCGTTACAAAAAATCACTACAGTCGATTAATAAAACCAGTTGACCAAGACCAAATCTTGAATACGAGGGACACAAGCGACGTGGCCTAGAAACAAATCTAGCCGTAAGCGAATACACATCATAAATATTAGGCAGTAACTTTGCAACTCTTGACCTGCTTGCAGCAATTTTTAGAAGTGGTGCGTCTGTTAACACCCAGTCTTTCTATTTTTTTCACACACATTATTAACCTACCTTCATTCTAGTTGTTGCACCCCTATTAAAATTTCAAATAAGTGGCTACAACTAATCACTCCATGTTCTATGATTCTTATTATTTGCAATTAAATTTGCTTCGTTCTCCATATTTTTACTTGTTTTAT